CTCACACATCCACCCGCACCCCCACCCTTACACTCTCATCCACATCCCTACACCCCTGCACTCCAACCCACACCCACACCCCACACCCCCACACCCCCACACCCAGTTTATATGTAGCAGCGGAAAGACCATAGCAGCTGTGCAGTACCTCTCAGTGCTCCGCGGGGACAATAATGATGTTCCTTAAGAGTAATGAACACTAATGAACACTAATGAACACTAATGAACACTAATGAACACCAATGAACACCAATGAACACCAATGAACACCAATGAACACTAATGAACACGAATGAACACTTCTCATGCCTTAAATAAACAAAACCAAAAGTAAATTACCTGCATATAATCAACAAGACTCAGGTAGGAGTTGAATAAATAAGTAAACAGTGGAGATATAATTACGAGTACAGTATCTATATGGTGGACTAGTCAGAGTACATCTTATTTTAGTACACATACATACATACATACATACATACATACATACATACATACATACATACATACATACATACATACATACATACATACATACATACATTCATACATACATACATACATACATACATACATACATACCTGTGTGTATAAATATGCGTCTGTATAATGTGTATATGTATGAACACCTTTACATATGACCTTCAACAGACAGACCAAAGTATATCAAAGTCCTTTATAATGAGATTTAAATGTAATTAATTTTTGGGTTGGTCGCACCTGCATATTAAGTACGTCATTAGCTTAATTACCCCCCGAACACCTGTGAGGGGCTAGGTGTTTACTGTGTGAGCTGAAAGTGATGTTGTTGACTCAGTGCCACGGTGGTTGTTTGTGAGTGCCAGGGTGTTTGTTTGTGAGTGCCAGGGTGGTTGTTTGTGAGTGTCTGGGTGGTTGTTGTTTGTTTCATCTCCATACTCCCTACCCACCCTTTTCTCCCTTCCACCTCCATCATCCTTCCTCTCCTTTACCCCTCCCCTCCCTCCTTTCCCTCCTTTACCCCTCTTCCTCCACTCCATCCCTTCTCTTCCCTCACCCTTTCTCCCCCTATACCCCCCTTCCTTCCCTCTCTCCCTCACCCCTCTCCCTCCCTCCCTTCCCCTCTCTCTCCTCACCCTCTCCCTCCCTCCCTTCCTCTCTCTCTCCCTTACTCCCTCTCTCCTCCACCCATCCTCTTCCTCACCCTTTCTCTCCCTTCCCTCCTTTCCTCCCCTCTCTCTCCTTCACCCTCCTCCTCTCTTCTTCCTCTCTCTCCTCATCCCCCTCTCCTCCTTCTCTACCTCTCTCCAGTACTCACCACAAAGTCGTCCTCGGGGCTGAGAAGAGGCAGGAGGGCTGGAGAAGTTCCTCATAGTGTCGAAGGTGAAGGTAAGGTGAAGTGGCTCTCCCTGAAGCTGCTCCGACGACCACCCGACCCACTCCCAGCCTGTAGGAGGAGGAGGAAGGTCATGAGTGTTAGCTTTGGCCTGTAGTATATCTCCGTCAGGTGGGTGTTGAGAGAGGGGGAGGAGGGGGAAGAGAGAGAGAGGAAGAGAAAGAAGGAAAAGAGAGAGAGAGAGGAAGAGAAAGAAGTGAAGGGGAAGAAGCAGGAAGAGACAGGAAAAAGAGAGAGAAAAGAGACAGACAGACAGACACACACACACACACACACACACACACACCAGACGCAGCCTCAAGGGGTGGGGTGGGGGGGGGGCAAGCAAGCAGTCACTTTACCGGAACATACAAGCATCACACACACACAAGGGGTACTCCCATAAGGTCGGAACTCCCTCTTACTGTGTCAATATTATCACCTCAGCGGGAATAATAATATAATCCCCTTCAGCAGTTGTTGCCACTCCGTCAGGCAGGTGTTGGTCTCGCTACTGAAGGCATCATCAGGGTCTGTGTTAGAGGCAATGTAAACATGTCTCGTCAAAGGAGAGTGACAGACAGACAGACAGACAGACAGACAGACAGACAGACAGACAGACAGACAGACAGACAGACAGACAGACAGACAGACAGACACAGACGGACAGACAGACAGTAGACAGACAGACAGACAGACAGACAGACAGACAGACAGACAGACAGACAGACAGACAGACAGACAGACAGACAGACAGACAGACAGACCAATACACCCGCAAGGACCATTGAAAAGAGAGAGAGAGGGAAGGGAAGGGGAGAGAGAGTTAGAGATAAAGAGCAAGGGAGAGAGAGTGAGAAAGTAGGAGATAGTGAGAGTGAGTAAGAGAATTAGGGTGAGTTAAGGTGTGAGAGAGAGAGAGATGAACAGCCTCATCTTTTATAAACTGAAGGTAATTTCAACAAGGCCTTTCAACAACATAATGCGGTATAATACGTGTGTGTGTATGTGTGTGTGTGTCCTTCATAGTCTGTACACACACACACACACACACACACACACACACACACATACACACACACACACACACACACACACACACACACACACACATGCTGGATCACAAACTACCTGTCAAAACTTTTC